GGAGGCGCAGCCTGTCTCGGGTCACCTGAAACCAAGTTCAGAGCCTGAGACGGCTGGTGACCCCTCCCTGGGGTGTGACTCTGCCCCCTCCCGGCCTGGATGCTCTCACCCTCAGCCCCCCAGGTGCTCAATTACCAGCACACAGCACACCTGGCACAGCAGCTGTCAAGTTTCTTACTTTTCCCCCCAAGGGACCCCATGCACCCATGTGACTTCCCACGACCTCTCTGTTGATTTGGTTCTGCTGCATCAGCCCTCCAGGCAGGCCAGAGACACAGAGCCCACCCTGGTGACCACATGGAGTGATGGCCAATGGGAAGGGGCTGTGGCTAAGGCAGGTGGCCAGACCCCGGAGTCGAGGAGGTAGCTGGATGGAGGCCTGTCCTGGTGGTAGGTGCACAGGGCTGGGCCGGCCACCCAAAGCAAGGGCAGTGGTGTTCCAGCCAGGGGAGCCACCAGGACAATGTGCACGGTGGAGAAGCGAGGCCTGGCTAGGCTGTGAGGGGCTGTCTTGAGTGATATGGTTGGGGGGGCTGGCAGGGCCACGATGGGGGGCTTTATGGCCAGGTGTAGGAGCTCAGTCCTTCATCAAGGCCATGGGGAGGTATGGCAGTGACAGGAGAGACACAGTCGGGCAAGGTGGGAAGGTGAGTTATGGGTGGAACTGTGTCCCCCAAAAGATCTGTTCAAGTCCTAACCCCCAGCATCTCTGATTGTGACCTCCTCTGGAAACAGGGTCTTTGCAGATGTCATCAAGTTAAGATGAGGTCTTTAGGGTGAGCCTTCCAGTAAGACTGATGTCTGTGTGAGAAGAGGAGAGACACAGGGGGAAGGCCACGTGATGTCAAGGCAGAAGGGAGTGGTGCATCCACAAGCCAAGGCAAGGAAGCCTGGCAGCCAGCAGAGGGTGGACGAGGCAGGGAGTGGACTCTCCCCTAGAGCCTTCCGAGGGAGCACGGCATGTGTCCCACCCGCTCTGGGCCTGGCCCTCAGCTGGCACACCTCTGTCCCGAGGAAGTGGAGACCCAAGGAGAAGGGGTGTCAGGAGGGGACGGAGGGTGAGCCCCAGGTGAAGTCAGGGCAGAGACAGGCCTGGGGTTTGCCAAATGGGAGGCGACAACTAGATGCTGGGGAGGCGGGCGTGTGGTGCGCAGGGCACTGATGCGGGTTGCAGGTTTTGGGTTAGGACTGGGCTTTTTGAGCACACTCTTGGGTGAGGTGGGGGAGGGCAGAGAGAGAGAGACCAGAGAGATGGGCAGGGTGGCCTAGGGGTCAGCCCCTCCCTGATGGTGGCTGGCAAGAGGGAAGGAGCAGGCCACACGAGGCTGTAGTGTGGGCTCGGGGGATGCTGCAGTGCTTCTGGCCCCCCTCCAACCCAGCCTGCCCGCCCTGCCTCCTGGGCCTGCCGGGAGGTCACTGGTGGTGCCCTGGGCTGCCTCCTCCCCCATCCATGCTGCAAGGAGTGGCCTTTCCACCTAGGCCCTTTGTCCCTTGAGGCAGAGGGAGGTCTGGAGACCTCCCTGGGGGAGGTGAACCATCCCTGTGGGATCTGGGGCCCTCCCTGGGCACAGAGGCAGCTTCCAGGTCCTGACAGCACTTCCTCGAGTGAGAGCAAGTGTGTGAGTGGGTGTGGGGGCTGGTATCCCCAGCTCGCCATCCTGAGGGCTCACCCCAATGAGCACCTCACTGCCTCATCTGTGCCTCTCATGGATGGCCCAGGCCGGCCTGCTACTCCCCTTCGCATTGGCCCCAATGCCCCCCCAGCCCGCAGCGCTGAGGGAGGGTGGCAGATTGGGACACCTGCACAGACCTGGCCACCTGGCCAGACCCAGGACCTGGGCACCTGCAGACTAGGCCACCTGTGTGGCCCCAGGCACCTGCTCAGGGTCTCAGTGTAAGCAGACCTGGGTGCCAGTGGGATCCTGGGTGTCCCTTCATGTCTCTGACCCTCCATGTCCCCCTCTGTCAGAGGGCAGTGGGAACGGCTCTGGGGAGGACAGCAGGCAGGCAGTAGGTGTGCTCCCCTCCTCCGTCCTAGTAGTGGAAAGGCTGGGATGAGTGGTGGGCTCAGTGAGGATAGGGTGGGGACTCGGGTGGGGGCGGGAAGAAGTCTGAGTCTCCAAAACTCTAGCGTGCCCCTTGGACAGGTGGAGAAGAGGCCGAGGGCTGCCTACTGCCTTCATCCTCCGGGCTCAGAAAACACCCGGGAAGGCTGGAGACATCCGGAACCCAGGGTCCTCCCTGGGACGCGGCAGCGAGGCCGCGCTTCCTGTCCTGTTCCCACGGGCCACGCCGAGGTCCCGTGGGTCACCTGCAGAGAGCCGGCGGTCCTGCCTGCCGCCTGTCGCAGGCAAGTGGGGTCACCCTGGTGGGCGGCCTGGGTGGGGGCTGCAGCGGAATTTCAGGGCGTGAGCAGGACTGAGGCGCCCGCGGGCGGTTCTCCGGCTGTGGGTGAGGAGGGGCGGAGGGGAGACCTCCCGGGGCCTGCGCGTGGAGCCTGGGGGCGTCCGGCTCCGCAGTGCCACCGGTCCCCGGCGCCGCTGCCGCGCAGCGCTGTCGCCGTGACAACTGGCGCTGCGGAGGGCGGGGGCGCCGGGACC